TAAATTTGAAAGATTAGCAAATCGATTATGATTGCACTTGGCGAAGGGAGAGTATCATTAACAGCGAACAAGACAGTCACGAAAAACAGCAGTGGATGTGTTCTGTCTGTTCACTTCAAATCAAAGGTCAGCAGTTACAGTTGTTATAATCCCTGTAATTATTTGCAGTTCTGCCACATCTACGTTTCTGTTTTCGTGGGAAACAGCCAATACAGCTTTTTACATGCACTGTAATTGTAGGAAATAACAATCACTTCGCGCTGAAGAATATAATCTTTCCATAACGTTCACTGTTGTTATGTAAACAATCACGTTGTCAGCGTTTAAATTACAAACTTAAATCTTAAGTACATGACTAAAAAGAGCTGCCAAGTTGGATATGTCGTGCCATTGTTTAGAACCTTTGCGGTGACGAAGTATATATAATTCAAATAATTATTGTTCTGCCATAAATTACACAGTCTTAGAAGATGTTATTGTATAATAAATTCATCAATTTTAGGAATTTTTTACACAGCATATCATCGTGTTTTACTTCTAATGTCGTTTGATTGTTCGAACGTAAGAATTTCGCTTTTTTTATAAACATATTTATTGAAATTTTTAATTAGCCGACTTCTGTGGACAGTTCAATATTATATCCCCATTTACTTCTGGGTCTCCCTTGTGGCCTCTTTCCTTAAGGCAATCCTAGCAAATTTCTGTATGACCATTTCATTCATGCGTACTAATTAACTGCCGATCACACCCTTCTATCCTGGATTCAGTTACCCAACAATATATTTGGTAACAAATATAAATTATGAGGTTCCTTGTTATGTTATATCCTCCATCTCTACGTTACTTCATTTTTTCTTATGGTAAAGATATTCTTCTCAGCACTGAAATTTACTATCAATATTTAATTGTAATCCAAACCGGATAAAACGAACTGCTATTTTACGGAATGGCGTTAAATCGTACATAGGTTTCACTGCACTCGGAACTGTTTCAGAAGAATAAAGTACAAACCTATAGCCACTGAAACATGAACTAGTCGTGTATGAGAAACGTGCTGTTTCTGACAATCAGACACTAAAATGAACACGAAACACGTTTGTCCCTATAACACTGAATTTTTTAATCATGATACTTTTGCACCTCTCTACCAGTACTCACGATGATATTCTTTTTCCATGCCAATCTCTTCCTGTGCCACAACGAAGCTCTGTGCCCATACCATTATGCAATTTACCTTAATTAGAGCGTTATGTTACTAATGAATTTACATTAAATCAAATGCAGTAAGTAAACCTATGCCAAGACACATTAGAGGAACATTGTAATTTATGTAAAAAGTACTCCATCATATGCACCACTTGTTGAGCATTTCTTGTTAAGGCCAGTACCATTTTGATCCAACCTCCTGGAAACGTTTGAAGCCATAACGGCTTTGTTTACTTCAAGAACATCTTAATATGCACACACATGACTTCAGCATTTCGAGAATTATTCTACTGTACTGTAAAATTATATAACAACAGAATTAGTAACAGCAGGAAGGAAATTATTAAAGTAATGCTGCATTTTGTTTGTGTACTTGGAAGAATTTCATTGAAGACCTGTCTTACTGGTTTCTGTATTCCCGATGAAATATTATACAGAATACAGTCCAGCATTAATGACAGGAATCGATTCATTATCTCTTAACATTTTGCAAACGTTTTATGATTTGACATTATGTCTTCAGATACATCGTTTGAATGCCGTGAAATCTTATCGTGCGATTAGCCACATCGATTCCAATGATTACGAGAATGTCTCTGTTCTGGGAACATTTCGAGTGCCGGTAATTCCTGATAGCTAGGGTACCTCCGAAACGTCGGATTTTAATTTCTTATCGATGGCTGATCGCCCTAGAAATTTAGCCTCGTAGTTCTTTCGATTCTGAAGACGTTCTTAAAATGCGTTTATACCTTTCTGTTACAATAGTTGTGACGGGCAAAGGTGTGTCCCTCAGCCTTGGCACCACGCCATGAAGACGTGGTCAGTGTTCCATATATTCTTAGCATTGACACTAATTAGAGGTGAATGGTTAACTTCACCCTTCGGCCGCCTTACTCCTTGAGGAAAGGCCACGGTACCCATTGAATAAAAGGCAGTATGAACAGCGTAGCCAGTCTGAATGCAGTGAAGAAGACAGAAATTGTTGCTCCTGTGAACCGAACGTCTGTCGTCCAGCCTGTAGTCAGTCACGTTAAGTGGAGTGATTTCTGGTGTTGTTCAATAGTCGAGCTTGCTTCTTGTCGAGGACTTCCACCATTACTAAAGCGCCAGGCACAGATATCGTATCGATAGCATAGCCCCTTCGAGTGTGTCAGGGTTCAGTAAGGATGCACCGCGGCGATGCCAACCCTGCCCGAAGACACCGAACTGTTGGTCCTGTGCAGCATTTCGTGGTGATGGGATGATTGTGGGTGTGATAACACGTGGTGAGGCTCAGCGTAGCTGTGTCTGTATCTTGAAGATGCAGCAGTAACTACGTCTGGCGGCGGTGGCGGACCGGAAGACTTTTTCAGATTGAGGTGCCCGCCATTAGCTGGTGACATGTGATGCTGTAGCCTAGCGGTTTCTCTGTCAAGACCTGGGAACCTTTCGTGTTCCGATAACTCCTGATAGCCAGGATGCCTTCCATTAGGTACGCCGTTGTTGTTATGGTTACTGCCTCTGTTGCCGGAAGAGAGTTCAGATCCTCCGCCATCTTGATAGGAGCGCCGTTTGAATTCCTTTGCAAGTTCGTTGGAGCTACGTCGCCGTTCTTCCTCCAGTACATCGAACATTGAGCGTCTTTTCTTATCACCTCCTCCAGGCGTTTGAAATGGATTCGCACGGGGAAGCCGATTATCCATATTCCGTCTTTGTGGTTCAGGACTACCGATGTCCTCGTCTTCTTTTATGCGATGACGAGGTGTCAGTGGTTGCTTGTGCATTGGGCTGCGATAACGTTCCAGTGGTATATCTGAATTTGAATCCTCGCTGAAGGATGCTTGCTGGGACAGGACAAGATGTCCTCGGGAAGGATTTGGTATTCTGTCACGAGGACCTCCACGGTATCTTTGCACTTCGTCGACAGGATAACCTGTTTCTTCGTCCGGTTTTCGTTGGCATCGTGGCTGAGGTCTTGGATTCCGTGTGGGACTCAGCTCTCTCCTGTCTGGACTGAAGTCCTGCTCTCCCCTCGCCACTCTGGTAGGACTACGGAAACGATGTGCTACCTGTCGTCTCTCTGGAACAATTTCCTCATCTGGAGCGTTCCTGCTTCGTCTAGAAGGACTTGAATTCATGTGCTGAGGCCGTGTGTCTTCCCTTGACGGGCTGCGGTACCTTTGATGAGACACAGGCCTGGGTTCGTCAGAACCTCGACTTCTGCCGCCCCGGTATATCTGGGCGTTCGTTTTAAGTGGGCGGTGACCATGCCTCATGGGCGCATCATGGTTGTCATGGTGATGGTGATGGAGGTTCTCCCGAGGCACCTGCCGGTTGTTGTAAGAATCTCGTCTAGTGACGTGGCGCATTGGACTTCTGTTGTAGCCATGCTCGAATACATCATCAGTGTCATCAGCTGGTAAATCCGGCTCAGGCGTATCGAAACCATCTCTAGCTTGAAGAGCGTGAACCCCGAAATATCCTCCTTGTTGTTGTCTGTCTTCTAACTCATCCTCTGAGTCACGACTTCGAGACCAACTTCCTCTTCTAGGGTAAGCGTTTCCTGAGACAAAGAAAAGAAAACGTAATTATTTATCGCCATAGAATTTCAAGGAAATACTCGAAGCAACTGAAACCACAGAGGCATTCTATTAGCATCCACGTTATATACTGAAATATTATGAGTAGGAAGGCGTATGACGAAGAGAAACAAACATTAGACGTCACGCTTTAAGTAATTTATTTATGTACTTGTGATTTATTTAACGATGCTCACATTATATTGTCGAATGACTGGTTGGTCAGTGAATGATGAACTGGAAAGGGTATGGTAGTAATCTGTACTGATTTAAAGACTTCACATGTCAGAAGTCAGAAGTCAGAGATAAATCTCGATGATGAACGTGGAAGTGTCTAGGATGGGGGAGCCAAGAAATCAGTAGAGAACTCTAAAGGAAACACGTGGAATGCATATACTTGCACGACAAGAATGAGATGTAGGGAACGTCAAATGGAAGGACGTGGCTCCAGATCGTGTCCAGTCACGTGGTCTGGCATTAGCCGCGTTGAACCTTCGGTTTCTGCTCTTGAAATGAAGGTTATTAAATGCCACGTTGTTCATAGCAGAGATGCTCGATGCTTTCCAGCAAGATATATCGTGAGTAACAATTGAAGAGTTAAATTTGTTTACTCGTCAGTTTAATTTATTTCCACAACCTTGGCAGTTGGTTTGACTTTAACCTGTCATCGGATAACTACGTAGCTGATTTCTCAGGTCAGTTGCCTGCCTCTTGATTACTGCTCTGGGCGGGAGAGTTGAACGTCCTGCTCATGTTTTGTATGCTGGCTGTAAGTCGAGACGGCCCGTCTCAGTTCCCGGTAACGGCAGGTTGCCAGTGAAAGTATGATGATGGTTACCGTCAACAAAGAAGCCTAATCAATGAATGCGACATGTCGTAAGTGCGTACTGTACATGGCAGTGACGTAACGGTATTGGATCAACTACGGATGATTACGCTGCTGTCTTTAGGGCTACTATTGAAGGCAGATATGAGTCATCAGCAGGTAGAGAGGCCACAGTACCATTTAGGCCCAAGTTGGAATTAATAAATTTAGTCTCTACGTGAAACAATATTTTCTACTCACAACCGTATTCGTACGCCTGAGGTCCTGAGTTCATATCTAAGCACAGACACAGGTTATTAGGCGCCACAAAAAAGCGAGTTTTTCTCTTTGTTGTTTTGAAGAAAGCCGAAAAATGGTGTGAATGGGAAAACGGGAGGACTGACTGTTTTGACTGAAGGATGTCCGTGCACGTGGTTTTATTTCACAGTGTACGAATGATTTGTACAAATGACAGTAAATGCTCACCCCTGGAGTTAGCGGCGGTTGGCAGCACTGCGGGCGATATGGGTGGCTCTGCTGATGTCTGAAGATTTCTCTTGCGCTGCATCTGTTTCTCCTGCTCCTCCAGCTGCAAGAACTTCTCCTTGGCGTCCTTGAATCGGTCCCGGGGCGACAGTGGCCCCGCCAATGCCTTCTTACCCGCGAGATGATTGCAAGGGGATGACGGAGAGGGAGACCTCTGTCGCTCTTCTGCGGTGCGACGTCTCCTCAACGCCTGTAGGTCCGGAGGTGTCCCTACAGCGATGAACCAGGCAGTCAAATGGGCACTGACAAGTTTAGAAATTATCCACGTGTGAGTTAGTGGAGATGCAGCTTTAGTTATTATTAACCGCGGTTTTGTATTGAGCTGAGAGGTTTGCTTCACTAATTGGCCGCTTTACATCAAGGTAAAGAACCCTCGGTAAGGCCGAATGATACCCACAGTTTGCCCGGACGCGGTAGCGAACAGATAATGTATTTCCTGTACCGGGAACTGAACATTGTTCTTCCAACCTGTAGGTCAGTCACTGTACCTTAGAGCAATATGGAATTGGAAGAGGGAGAAGAAAATTAATAAAGAGAAATTTAGAATGAAAGGAGAAAGGAGAGCGTTAAAGAGGAAATCGAGTTTTAGGACAAAATTTTATGGATCGTAAATCGCTATGGTTGAAGGGAATGAGTAAAATCATAAATAATCTGTAGCAGAGAATCGAACCGAGTCCTTCGATTACGAGTCGGAAGCGTTCCTGCATAATTGTATCAAGAAGGTTACTCGCCATTTAAGTGGTAACAATGTGCGGCATTTTTTGTGGCTCTCTCACCTGTGATATTGGCGACGGGCGAGGAGGGCGATTCTACGCCGCTGCTGTGAACACGCCTTGCCCGCGGGAGCGAAAGATCAGCGCCCGGTCCTTTCCAACTGCGACCAACTGCGGTCGGCTGTACCAGAAACAGCGAGTCTTCTGATGGCTGCTCATTCCATTCCTCATCTGTAAACCGAAATACACCAAAATGCGTTACCATTCAGATTTAAGGTAGTAAAGAGTAAACCCGACGTTGTAGCTTGAAGTCTGACCTACTGATGGCGCCGTTAATAAAAAAAATTGAAAGATTTGGTTAAGTTCGACTTGAACTTCATATAAGTAGAAGTTACATTCCGCTAATACCTAACTAATCGCAACATTTTTCAGAAAGCGAATAAATAGCATGATAGGTTTCTTTGTCTTTTGGTCCGTTCTTTACCTATTAGTTCTGGTACGAGATTCCACCGCTTCTTCATAGAGGCTAAACGTGTTCCGGGTACTGTTACAGGCAGCGTTGCAGTAAGGACTTATGAATTATATAATTAAGATTTAATAACAGATTTAGATTCTGACACGAGATAGAGGGTGCTTTGTTTCCTGTGTATTATCCGAGCTTTACGTAAACAAAGCCGACCTTATTACGCGTCCCAATACCGAGGTACACACTTTAGGTATGTGTACAGATTCACATGCGCATTGCGCAGCTGGTGGTTCTATTGTCTTGTTTCATGTTCTGGTTTATTCATTTCTTACAAATGGCTGTCGAGTGTGAGAAGTTACGGTAAATGTTACATCCAAAATGAGTGCGCGAACATAATTTTATTCTATGGTGTGTGTAAAACTAAGGTGCCTATATCCACATACCTCGAAATGCAAGTGCTCGTAAGCGAAACAGTATTCTGCTTTAGATAGCCTATGTCGTGTATTTCGAAGGTCCTTGGGTCTGTAACTTGGGCCAGATGACGTGAGACATTTTAGCCTACTTCCTAGTTTTATACGACCAACTAATGAGGCTGATAGTGGACATTTGGGAGGTTTCGACTTAGATTCTCGGCCCGAGGCTTGTAGTTTTCCTCAGGAAAATGCTACGATATTCTATACAACCTATAAGTTCGAGAGAACGTCGTTAAATAAGGAATAAGGGCGGTATCGTCATGTATGTTTTTGTTTCTGTATTTCCATCACAGTCACTTTTGAATGACTGTCAAGTCATTAGAGGCCACTCTACGAACGCATATTTCAGTTTCCTGCCAGTAATGTCAACAAAGACGTGCGAAATTCTGACGAATGGAGTGGCAATGGCGTCATATAATGTTGGCTCCTGATATGTTGTATCTGTAGGTCTTAGAAGAGGATTCGAACTTCATTTCAGGTAACGATTTTGAACAGGGCAGAATGACGTAGTGGACGAGCAGCGTCTAGATTACTCTTTCACAGCGACGCATGTGAAACTTGGGGGCTTATATAGAAAATATAAGTTTGTGGAGATCTATACTACTGGAAATGTGTGCACAAACAACATATAGGCTAGGCTAGGTTTTCGGTAAATTATATAGGCATCGTTTATGCTTTCTGATAGCATCTGCATACCAGTGGAAATGTTTAACCCATTGACATACTTTTACGGCTGTAAAACAGCCGTCCCTTCGGGTCACATTAACTTAACAGTTGCGAAATGTCAAGTCACCTTACTTTACTTATGGAATGACAGGTGAAGGTAACCTTTCTCGACGTTTAGCAGTACGTTTGAGGCATTTATATTGAAAAACTTAAGAATAATTATGAAGGCAATGGAGGGATACCATGTTTACAGGACGTAAATATTTTACGGGGGGTCTATAAAGCCCTACTCTATTTCGTTAAAAATTAGAATTATTTTCCGTGTTTGTGAAGAACGAAAAGGGCTAATCCAGATTCATTATAATTAAAACGCGGAAAACAAAATAAGTTATGTGAAGTACGCCATTGGAGTTATTATATTTATATTTTTTTTTATTAGAACATAAGCATAAACGAAATGAATTGAATTATTAACGTTTGCACTTTGCTGTGTGTAATTTCACATTATTCAGATTATGTTTGAAGGTAATGAGTTTTTGTTACTGCAGAACATAACGGAACTAGACGGTACGCACATCGCACATTTCCAAGCAGTATAGTTACTACACAGCCACAATTAATCGTTCCTGAGGTGCAGAGTTAGGGCATAGTGGGTAAAGTACAGTGTGGGAACAGGCTCATGTTTGTGAGGAAATTGACACGTAAGGTCGACTTGTTCTGAGAATTCCTTACAAGAATTCAAAACGGTGACTATACGCTATCAAAAATTTAAGATTTAATTATATAAAAGTGTAATTATAGGCCTGTCTGTTGTTTTATGTGGATGAGAAATGTGGCCTGTCACTCTAAGAGACAACCTTAATTAAAGGTATTTCAAAACAAATTGGAGATGAGATTATGTGAATATAATATAAATGAAGTAACATATGACCGAGAAAAGTAATATTAAGGAACTTAATAATTCGTGGACCGTTCTTTGACTAATTTTGATAGAGTGACAACCTTGGACCTGTTATTAAGAATCTAATTAATCCGTTACGAGAATACTAGATTTCCGAAGTACGGTGTAACTAACATATGCAACACACGTATACTATGAAGTGATTTCTGTACAGCGCGATCTTCGTTTGTATGTACAAGATTCAGCCTGCACGTTATAAAACCTGCAACATTCAGTTCCGCATTCTGCACAGCACATACCCCACTTACTGGCGCCAGTTCCCTACATACCGCCACAGATTATCGTCTTCTCAGCTAATGATTTGGGGTAGGTTAGGTTAGGTTAGGTTACACTGCGTTCACCGTCTCTATTCAGACGTTTTAATTCCGATGTCTTTATGTATTTATTTTGGACGGAGCACATGCAAGTGATGACCTAAAGCGTTCAGGTGTATCTAGTGCTAGAGGTCACTTGACCCTAAAACAGCTGCTCCTACAAGTCACTCCACAAACTTTACGTTTGTATATGTGAGGGTAGGATCCGTCATGAACTGGGAATAGTTTGAATCGGACGTGTAATGTCTGGTTTGAGGTTTTCACGACGATGAAGACTGTGGTCGTCTTCGTTGTGGTTTGCCAGTGTTTCGGAGTAAGATACTGCCTCCATCTTAACCCATGAAGACGGAAGTAGTATGGTCCTACGAAACATTGGCGTATAGCCAAAATATCACGTGGCGCAACGACCAAGGAGACCATCTTCCTACTTCCGTACGCAATTGTTTAAGTTATTTCAGCAGACCATCGCATGGCAGAAACAAGAGATATTGTTGACTGAGTTTTCATTCTCTTAGTTTAATGCTAGATTACAGTACGGCTTTAATGTATATATATCAAACACGTTATATACATATTTAGCTTCCTCTTACTGTGTTGTGTAACAACAATGAACGGTGAAGCTTTAGCGTTGACTGGTTATTCATTCAGGAACGTTTTTTGACTTCTTGCCAATTTTAATAAGTATCAACTAACGGTGAATATTTTTGCGTGTTATTTTAATGTTTTGTTTAATATAAAATAACACTTCGTCGTAGTCACAATGATTCAGTTTAATGTAGAATTTTACTTTTATGGATCACCTCAGAGTTTATAAGTTTTATGTCAGGTCGCTTCAGTTTGTTGCCTGTCGTTTGTAATTCTTTCGTCGAACAGTGCGCGTTGTATACTTTTAATATTTGTTTTAGTAATTACAGTATGAAAACAGGTGAGCGTTACGCTCTGAACTACCAAATGTAAGTGAGGAAATGCTGTATTATTGGAGGATACAACAATGGGTCTGTCAGACATAGTCCTGGATAACTGCGGCTGTGTGACTAATCAAGGATGCGTCTTACGAGAAAAATTTAAAATGCCAATAATACGAGTTTCTTGCGACAACAGTCCTAGTAGAAAAGTGAGGAAGCAGCCGTATTTTGTAGTTGGAATAGATCTCGTTAAGTATGCATTGGAATTTCATGTCTGCTGTGTCAGTTTCAATACTTCAAATGCAGCCTCAAATTTACTTCTGTACGGTAATTTGTCATGCTGAAACTGAAGAATATAAAAACACCCGTCCAGTATTCATAAAAAATGGCGTATCAAATTTTGTGTTTGCCATGTAAAGTAAAATTGTGAAAAAACAGAAATGTTCAGTGTAGCAAATTCTTCTCAGAAAAAGAGTTTCAGTTTCAAATCTTAAGCGTTGCCTAAAACTTCGTGTCTGAAACTTCTCGTTTTTTATACTGGGCCACGATAATGGTAGGGTTTGATAAAGGGCAGAAACTACTATTTTCAGAAGCTTCGAGATCTGATACAGAATTATGAAAATATGTGTGCCAGAAATTCATCTTCAGCACTGTCAGTCGGAGGAAACAATGGACCATTACTAAAAATATAATTGGCGGTCTTGTGTGTTTGAATTACGTCCACAACAATTTCAGTTCCAAAACGCACTAAGGTACAGAAAGAAATTTAACAGAATAAAAAAAATTATATCTACCTTCCTTTTTTCTATAAAATGCATAAGAACATTATCTGTTTTATATATTATATTCACAGTGTGTTGCTTCTGGAACGAACCCCCTTAACTTATCGGAAAAAAATCAGAGAGTACACAGCTGGTCTGGACGTAGTGGATAATGCTTCGATCCGTTCAACATTATTTATCAGTATTTAATAGTCCTACATAGTTATAAGTTTCGTGTTTTACGAATTGCTATGCTTTTAGGAGGAATAATATGCTATTGTTTTCATCGTCACAAGAAATAATCTTTTGAAGCAACAATGCAATGATCTATTTAAACCAAGACGCTCAATTCCGTTCTACCCAGAACGCCGTTCAAGAAACTGACACTCTTAATGACCGTCGTTTGTTTAAATAACATTTTTGCTTTCTAAGCACATGATGGATTTGCTAAGCGTTGAGAATCTTGTGTTGTGCACATTTCCTTATGAATAAAAAAGGAGGCAGATTCATCTTTAACGTATTTATTGAACTGTCCTGGTTCCCGTCTCTTTCGTGTAACACAACGCCTTCTAGAGTAAGCCCCCACACCCTCTGATTAACCCTGAAAATATTTGTCCTAAATAAAAAGAGGAACTGTAAGGTAGTAATTTCGTTCAATGAATCAAGCTTTTGGTTAATCGAAACA